TCGAACTCGCAGAGATCCGCCTGCCTCTGCCTCCCGAGTGCTGGGATTAAAGGCGTGCGCCACCACCGCCCGGCTATTTTATTTATTTATTTATTTTTAAAGATTTATTTATTATGTATAGTGTTCTGCATGCATGTATGCCTGCAGGCCAGCAGAGGGCGCCAGATCTCATTACAGACGGTTGTGAGCCACCATGTGGTGGCTGGGAATTGAACTCAGGACCTCTGGAAGAGCAGCCAGTGCTCTTACCTTCTGAGCCATCTCTCCAGCCCCCTGATTTTAGCTTTATTTACCATTGTTCTGTCCTATAATTTTGTAGTCCAGACAAATTTGCTGGCCTCAAATGGTCTAGCACCTGTGTCATCCCCCATTGCCTGGAGCCCCCAGTGTCTTCCATAGTCGTCAGCACTTTTTTCTCCTTTTCTTCTCCCTAACCCCATTGTTGGGGATGGAATCCAGGACCTCTGCCAGTTTTAGACACCTCTTCCATCCAGGCTTTCACTATAGCCCAGGGTGCAGCAGCCTGCCACTGTATAAAATCACTTACATAAAATGTTCTCAACTGGGCTAGGTTTGTAGTTCAGTGGGAGAGCACTTGTCTACCACTCTTGCATTAGGCGCTGGATTCTTATTCTGTTCCCAGTATTGAAGAAAAAGGAGGAGGAGGAAGAGGAAGACTATGAGGAATAGAGTACCACAACATGAGTGAACCTTAAAAACATTATGAAAAGTGAAAATAGGCAGATATGAAAGTCACATTTTTTTGTTTGTTTTCAAGATAGGTTTTCTCTGTATAGCTCTGGCTGTCCTGGAACTTGCTCTGTAGATCAGTCTAGCCTTGAACTCAGAGATTGGCCAGCCTCTGCCTCCCAGTGCTGGGATTAAAGGCGTGCGTTACCAACCACCCTTCGAAAATCACATATTATTCAATTCCTCTTGTATGTAATATTCAGGCAGGGCATACCTGGCCCCTACATGGATCTGGACCAGGGTGGAGACAGCACCAAATTCCTGATGGACTTGGCGGCCAGTCAAAAAGCAGCTCAGGCATGCTTCTTAAATGGTTTTGAAGGTCTCCTTGATGATGACTATACCCAACCAAAGAGGGAAGTCAGATAGGAACTGGAGGAAGGAACCGAGAAAAGGACTACAGAGAAATACTGTTTACTGGCCTATTTCCTGGCTCATTCTCAGCCAGTTGTGTTAAAGGGCCCAGCCTTGAGCTGGGTGGTGGTGGCGCACGCCTTTAATCCCAGCACTCGGGAGGCAGAGCCAGGTGGATCTCTGTGAGTTCAAGGCCAGCTTGGACTACCAAGTGAGTTCCAGGAAAGGCGCAAAGCTACACAGAGAAACCCTGTCTCGAAAAACCACAAAAAAAAAAAAAAAAAAAAAGGGCTCAGCCTCACCTACCTGGGGATGGCGCTACCAATAGTGGATAGGCCCTCCCACCACAACCACCAGTGAAGACAGTCTTTCACAGCGAGGCCCCACAAACCAATGGGATCAAGGCCATTCCAACTGAAGTTCCTTTTTCCAAGGTGAGTCTAGGTCGTGTCAAACTCACAATAAAAGCTGAGCAGAATGACAACCCTGAGCATCTTTATTTTATTTTGAGACAGGGTCTCATTGCATAGCTCTGAATGTCCTGGAACTTGCTATGTAGACCACACTGGCCTTGAACTCAGAGCACCACCTATCTCTGCTTCCAGAGTGCTGGGGTTATAGGTGGGTGTCATCATACCCAGCCCCATCTTAAAAACAAATTAAGTGGGGGCTGGAGAGATGGCTCAGCGGTTAAGAGCACTGGCTGTTCTTCCAGAGGTCTTGAGTTCAATTCCCAGCAACCACATGGTGGCTCACAACCACCAGTAATGAGGTCTGGTGCCCTCTTCTGGCCTGAAAGCATGCATGTAGGCAGAATACTGTATACATAATAAATAAATAAATCTTAAGAAAAAAATCGCAAAAAAATAAAGTGTGTGCATATGTACTATAGTGTGTGTGTGTGTGTGTGTGTGTGTGTGTGACATTAAGAGGACAACTTCCAATAATTTGTTTTTCTTTCCACTTTGTGGGTTCAGGGGATTAAGTTTAAGTAATTAGACTTGACATATGCACCTTGATTTACTTGGCCTCATGACCATTTTATTTTTATTTTGTATGTTTTATGAGTGTTTCATCTTCTTGCTAGAAGGGGCCATTGGTTCCCTTGGAACTGGAGTTACAGCAGATTGGGAGTCACCATGTGGGTGCTGGGAATGGAAACCTATCCTCTGGAAAAGCAGCTAATGCTCTCAACTGCTGAGCCATCTTGCCAGCTCCTAACCATCTTATTTTAAACATATTCTATCAACCTCTGTGGTAGTTTGAATGAAAATGGCCCCCATAGGCTCATAGAGACTGGCACTATTGGGAGATGTGGCCTTATTGGAGTAAGTGTGGAATTGTTGGAAGAAAAGTGTCACAGGTTGGGGACTTTGAGGTCTTAGATCCTCAGACTAGGCTAGTGGCTCACAGTCTCTTCCTGCTGCCTTGAATCTGGATGTAGAACTCTCAGCTACCTCTTTAGCACCATGTCTGCCTGCATGCCACAATGCTTCCTGCCATGATGACAATGGACTAAACCTCTGAACAGTAAGCCAGCCCCAATTAAATGTTTTCCTTTGTAAATTTGTCATGGTCGTGGTTTCTCTTCAATAGAATAGAAACCCTAAGACACCCTCTCTATCTATTCTTACTTTGGTTGTGTGTTTATCATTAATAGCTACCTGATGTTACATATCTGCAACTTGGTCTGCCTCTGGGGTACCTGCACCAAGGCAGGAACCTATGTCCTTTCTACTCTACTCCCAGTGCCAGAGCCATGCAAACGCTGTTACATGCAGTAAAATATATTGATGGAAAGAATACGCCAAAATCGAAATAACAGAGGCTAAAGAACATGTGTGATCAGCACTAATATTGGCAGTGATGATGGGTTCAATGAAATTAAAAAGAGGGGAACCAGGTGTGATGGTGGACATCTACAATCCCAATATTCAGGAAGCAGAGGTAGGAAGATTTCAAATGTAGGAGACCCTGACTAAAAATGGGCTTTGGATGTGGACTACTTGGTAGAATGCTTTCCTACCACACATGGAGCCCTGGGTTTTACCCCAACATCTGTAAAACTGGGTGTGACGGCACACTCCTGTAGTCCAAGCATCAGGAGGTGGAGACAGGAGAATCAAAAGCTCAAGTTCAGGGCTGGAGAGATGGCTCAACAACTAAGAGCATGTGATGCTCTTCTAGAGAACTTGGGTTTGGCTCCTGGCACCCACATGGTGGGTCTCAATCATCTGAAACTCCAGTTCCAAAGGATCCACTCCCTCTTCTGCCTTTCTCTGGCACCAGGCCCGAATGTGTTTTGGCATACATACAAGCAGGCAAAACACTCATACACATATAACACATAAAATCTTAAAAAAAAAAAAATCTAGTCAACTGGGTTGGCATGCGCCTTTAATCCCAGCACCTGGGAGGCAGAGGTAGGTGGATCTCGGTGAGTTCGAGACCAGCCTGATCTACAAAGCGAGTTCCAGGACAGCCAGGGCTACACAGAGAAAGCCTGTCTCGAAAAACAACCCCCCCCCCCCAAAAAAAAAACAAAACCCAAACCAAAAAAATCCCCAAAACACAAAAACAAAACCAACCAACCAAACAAACAAATAGGTGGCTTTTAGCCTCTTAAAAGATTTCCATAAGGTCTCCTTCAAATCATGTGCAAGAAGTGCAAAAGAAGGCCCCGCTCATTGCTGGAAAATTGTGAAGACGGTACAGAACTCGCTCAGCGGCTAGTTTTGGGGTGACATCTCGATGCTTTTTCTTCTTGGGGCTTTTCTGTATTGCTCGAACGTTCAGAAACAAGTCTTTTTTGCAGGTTTCTTCTGAACTCTGGGTCTGTTGCTGAGCATAGGAGGCCGGGCCCAGACGCGGGGGTATGGGCGGGGCCGAGGTGAGCGCGGCTCCACTTGCGCATGCGCGCGGCCGTTGGCGGGGCCGGAACCTTGTTTCGCCTGTGTGTTCGCCCGGCGGAGTGCGTTGAGCGAAGCACTGGACGTCGGCGGCTGGCGGAGCCGGGCGGCGAAGCTGGAGCGGCGGTGGCGGCGGCGGCGGGAGGCCGAGGCCGGGGCTGAGGCCGAGGCCGGAGTTGCGAGGCCTTTGGGGAGGCAGGCGGCGGCAGCCCGGGGCTCGAACCCGGAGGCAGGAGCGGCCACCATGGCCGAGAACATCGTGAGTGAGGCGGCCGGGAGGGAGCGGGGCGCCGGGATGAGGCAGCAGATTTGCCGGCGTCCTGGGCGGGCCCGCGCGGGACGGTGCTCGGCGCCTGCGGCTCCTCCTCACCAGCCCTGGGTTTGTGGAGGTACCTCAGCTGGGCCTGGAGAGGCTGGCGGGAAGGAGGCCGAGCGGTCCGAGTGGAGCGGCCTCCCTCCTCCCTGCTGCCGCAGGTTGCTCCGAGCGACCCCAGCCTCCTCCAGGCCCCGAAGCCGCTTACGTCCTTTCCTCCTGCCCTTAGGGCTTTCTCCTCCCCCATCCCAGCAGTGCCTCGTCATGATTTCACTCCGGAAGAGTAGTCGGGAGAAGGGCATCAGTAGGGAACCCCTTCCCCACAAAGGAAGTGGCCCAGGGGGTTAGACAGCAACCTGGAGGGACCGGCCCCTCTTTGGCAGAGACAGCTGACTACCTGTTGAAAAGGAGTGTGATAAAGAAGGCTGATTTCACTTTGGCCTGACAGTAGAGATAGTTTGTCACCCTCCCACCCCACCATGGAATATGCCGTTGGAACGAGAGAGAGGAAAACCAGCGGGTAGCCTTTAGTTAACCTGTGGGAGCTCGTCTCCGAAGTAAATGTGGCAGGGGTTGGGGAATGGCGTGAGTAACAGGCTGGTCTGACAGAAGAAGTGTGGTCAACACTAAGGGGTGTTTGGGATTTCTGGGAAACTGGAACCATGTTGGGTGCCTTAGGCCCGGGACAGTTCTGTAGTGGTTCCATGCATTCGAAATAACATCACTTCTTTCTGGATTACATGGGTTTCCAGGGAAGTTCAGCTCTTGAAGCATTTTGTTTTACTTTTGAGACAGTCTTACCATTTTATACCACACCATCCTTGACCTTGACATCTTCCTGCCACAGCTTCCTCACACTGGGATTGCAGACAAGGGCTGTCATTTCTGGTAGGTTAAGAGTTAAGGCTTTTCTCTGAGGGAGGCTTCTCTTTCCCTACAGTTTCATTTAGGGGTCTTCTGTTCTCTCTGTATTTCCCATCCTGACTTTTAAAACAAAGGCTGACTTTAGTTTTAAAACTAAAATTTACTAACTTAGATGACTTGCCTAGAAATAGGTGAGGTATCAGCAGTTAAGAACTGCTTATTAAACTTTCTACACACTGTAATGATCTTTACTGAGGTAAAGTATTTGTTCAGGTATTCCAAAGGCTCTCATGGGTACCGGTGGGTCTTAAATTGACTTTCTCAGGTTGTAAGGAATTAATAAACTCTTCTGAAGTTGATTTCAGAAATTTTACTTTTTAAAAAAAATTTATTTTTATTCTATGTGTATTGGTGTTTTGCCTTCAGTGTATCTGTGTGAGGGTGCCAGATCCCCTGGAATTGGAGTTACAGACAGTTGTGAGCTGCCATGTGGGTTCTGGAATTGAACCCAGGTCCTGTGGAAGAGCAGCCAGTGCTCTTAACTGTTGAGCCATCTCTCCAGCTCCCAGAAGTTTTACTTTTAAGTTTATGTATTTATGTGCATGGGTGTTTTGCCTCCATATATGTGTACCACTTGGATGCCTGGTTCCCAAAGAGGCCAGAATAGGGTATTGGATCCCCAGGAACTGGCATTATAAATGGTTGTGAGACACCGTGTGGGTGCAGGGAATTGAACCCAGATCCTCTGGAAGAGCAAGCAGTGCTCTCTCTCTCTCTCAAAATAATTTATTTAACTTTATTTTATGTGCATTGGTGTGAAGGTGTCAGATCCTCTGGAACTGGAGTTAGAGACAGTTGTGAGCTGCCATGTGGGTGCTGGGAATTGAACCCAGGTCCTCTGGAAGAACAGCCAGTGCTCGTAACTGCTGAGCCAGCGCTCCAGCTTGTTCCCTCACATCTAACTTATTCAGAATCTGTGTTCTCCATGTGGCCCATCTGTCTGTTCCATATATTTTCTTTTGTAGCCTGTGTCAGAGGTTAATCTAAAACTTTGTTAGTAGAAATTTCCTTCTTCTTCTTCTTTTTTTTTTTTTTAAATATTTATTTATTATGTATACAGCATGTATGACTGCAGGCCAGAAGAGGGCACCAGATGTCATTACAGATGTTTGTGAGCCACCATGTGGTTGCTGGGAATTGAACTCAGGACCTCTGGAAGATCAGTCAGTGCTCTTGACCTCTGAGCCATCTCTCCAGCCCGAAATTTCCTTCTTCTTAAACTCAGACTCTTATAACGTGTTGTAGATCAGGTAGAGTGACTTGCACTGTAGAATTCTTCTTTGATAAACTAGGTGTTGGGACATAGGCCTGTAATCCAGGACTTGGGAAGATAAGCAAGGAGGATAGAGAATTTGAAGCCACTTTGGACTACATGGTGTGTACAAACCAAAATCAACCAAACAAAAGGATTCTTCCTTGGGACTTCTTTCTCATAATGCTTGGGTGACAGACTCCCATTTCTGAGTAATTGGATGAGGAAGCATTTGTAGAGCCTTGTGTGGAACAATCCTTTTCTACACCATGTATGGTGATATTTTATTTGTGCTGAAATGTGATTTTATTTGAATGTTAATAAATAAAGTTGCCTGGGGGTCAGAGCTAATAGCAAGCCATAGCAGAAGCCAGGCGGTGGAGGTGCACACCTTTAATCCGATCACATGGCAGGCAGAGTCTGTGTGTTCAAGGACATAGCCAGCTTGGAGACACACACCTTTTATCTGAATACCAACCATAGAGACCTGGAGGTCTGTATAGACAGGCAGTGATGAGGGGTTTACAACCAATGAGAAGGCAGAACAGAAAGTCAATAAAAAGACAGACACACAAGAAGTAGGTCTCCTCAGGGGAAAGGCAGCCGCAGGGGGTGGGGTAAGAAGGCGGTCTTGGTCTCAGTTCTTAGCTACTGCTCTGACCTCTTGGGCTTTTAACTCTGCATTTGGCTGTGTTTCTTATTTAATAAAACCATTCAGAGTTACATCTACACCATGAATATGTATTACTCTCATTTGCTAATAAAAACCTGATTGGCTGATAGCTGGGCAGAAAGAGATTGAATTCTGGGAAGAGGAAGGGGGATCAGAAAATGCAGAGAAGCAAGATAAGAATGTTGTACTGAGAAAAGGTACCAAGCCATGTGGTTAAACATAGATAAGAGTTATGGGTTAATTTAAGTGTAAGAGCTAGTGAGTAATAAGCTTGAGCTACCAGCCAAGCATTTATAATTAATATAAGCCTCTGTGTGGTAATTTGGGAAGCAGCTGCTGGGTATTTGGGAACAAGCAGTCTGGACAGGAAATGTCTGATTACAGAGCCTTCCTCAGAGAAGCAGAGGTTTTTACTTTTTGACATGTCTCAGTGTTGAAGACAGATTGAAGAATGAAATATGTGCAAATAGTTTCCTTACATTTATAAAGGTGTTTTTCTTTGGTATCAAATCCCAAGTGAAGAGTACTAGAAATCAGAAGTCACTTACATTTGCACTTAATACAGATGAGTGAGCAGGGTGAGGAAATGGGACACAATTCTATGCCCTTTAACAATCAAGATATTCATAGGGACTATCCAGAACAAAATCTAAATGTTGAATATACATGGCAAAGCCAAGTGAAAGTCACCAAAAATTAGAGACATGATTGTGCTATTTTAGAAAACTCACATTATTCTTAATTGTTTGATGAAAGTAGACAAAATTCAGTTGACTGTAAACCATTATGGAGTTCTGCAATGTGTCATTAGAAATCTTTAAACAATGCCTTGTCAACATTTTTTATCTGCAAAGCGTTTTCTATATAGTGTACCATTAATGACTGCCAGAGTAGGAAGTACAGCAGCGGCATTTTCTGAGGTATTTTGTGTTTTCCCTCTTAGCCCTTGGGTGGCCGGGAGAAACTGCCTGGTTTATAGGGCATGCCATTTCATGCCAGCATAATGAATGACATGTTCTCAGAAGGCTTGGACCAGTATAGAAATCAAGGCCTAGAAACTGGTCCATGTCTAGGAGTCTTGAAGGCAGCCAACGTTTTTAGCTTTGCCTTGACTTTGAAATACATTTTGTTAAGACTGCCTAGAAATCAAACTATTAATGATAGAATTTATCATGGTATTAAGGGCCTTTATTTTATTTTACTTTTTAATTAATTTATCTTTTATTTTTATGTGTATGTGTGTGCGCGCGTGTGCTTGTGTGAAATTTATGTGCTGCCCCACAAGCATGCAGGATTCTGTGGAGCAGAAGTGGGTATTTCATCCCAGAGATCTGGAGTTACAGACAGTTGAGAGCTGCCAGTAGGTGCTGGGAATTGAACCCAATCTTCTGTAAGAGCAGCTATTGCTCTCAAGAGCTGAGCCATCTCTCCAGCTCTTGTTTTTTTTTTTTTTTTAAGATAGTTTCATGTGATGCCCTCTTCTGACCTTGAAGGGCAATACATGCATGTGGTGCACAGACATACACGCAGGCAAAAACACTTATTTAATATTTCTTTTTTTAAAGATTTATTTATTATGTATAGTGTTCTAGCTGCATGTTTCCTGCATGCCAGAAGAGGGCACCAGATCCCATTATAGATGGTATGTGGTTACTGGGAATCAAACTCAGGTCCTCTGGAAGAACAACCAGTGCTCTTAACCTCTGAGCCACCTCTCCAGCCCCTGGCAAAACACTTATACATGTAAAATTAAAAAAAAAAATCTATCTTAAGGTGGTCTCATGTAGCCCAGGCTGGCCTCTTCTTTTGCTCTTGCCTCCACCTCTGGAGTGCTTGGGATTATAGGTATTCCTACCATGTTTAGCCTTGAAGTTGCATGTTCTACATGAAACTATAGGGTGTTTGAATCAGGATGGTACTCTAGGCCATCTTTCATGTGTCGATATGACTCACCTCTCTTGTGGGAAAGCTGGACACAGTGGTGTACATCAGTAACTGCAGTGTAGGAAGTGGAGGTGGGAGGAGCCAGTTGCTTGTTGGCCAGCCAGTGCAGCTGAAGTGGTGAGCTCCGGGTTCAGGGAGCCCTGTCCCCCAAAAATGGAGAGCAGTAGAGGAAGATGCCCTATGTTGACTTCTTGACACCATGTGGATGTGCACAAGTGGGTGTACTTGTGCACTTAGGTACACGCACAACATACATACCAAAGAACGGTGGGGAAGAGTGACTCCTACCTTTCAGTTTCAGCAGTCCAGACGCCAACAGACTTCAAGTGTAAGTCTTGTTTTTTAGAGACAGGGTTTGTCTGTGTAGTTTTGTGCCTTTCGTGGAACTTGCTTTGGAGACCAGGCTGGCCTCAAACTCACAGAGATCCGCCTGGCTCTGCCTCCTGAGTGCTGAGTTTAAAGGCGTGTGCCACCGCCTTTTTAAATTTAATTAGTTTATTTACTTTTTATGTATATTTGGGTTTTTGCCTGCATGTATGTCTGTGTCAGGATGCCAGGTCCTCCCTGGAGTTACAGACAATTGTGAGCTGCCATGTGGGTGCTGGGAATTAAACTCAGATCCTTTGGAAGAGCAGCCAGTGCTCTTAATTGCTGAGCCATCTCTCCAGCCCTTCAAGTGTAAGTCTTATAAAATGGATGTCTCAGAGCCGGGCGTGGTGGCGCACGCCTTTAATCCCAGCACTTGGGAGGCAGAGCCAGGCGGATCTCTGTGAGTTCGAGGCCAGCCTGGGCTACCAAGTGAGCTCCAGGAAAGGCGCAAAGCTACACAGAGAAACCCTGTCTCGAAAAACCAAAAAAAAAAAAAAAAAAAAAATAAAAAAAAAAAAAAAAATGGATGTCTCATTAGGTACAGTAACCATCTTACTTCATTTACAATAGATAATCCGAGTCCAATCCCCGGATGGAGTGAAGCGGATCACAGCAACAAAGAGAGAAACAGCTGCAACCTTTTTGAAAAAGGTACCTGTGGCCAGTCTTCTGGGGTTGTCCCCTCCAGTGTGCCTGTCCATGCCTTGTCTTGTTAACTTTTTCCTCCTGCCACCAAGATGTCAGCTGTGTGGCTTTTCTCTGTGTGATAGAACTGGCTACCTGCTGGATTGTCGTGGTGGTGGGAGGGGGTAAGGGTAGGGAGGGAGAGAGGGAGATGGGGCAGACAGAGACAGAAAGACAAAGTCTCACTCTAGGCTGGCCTTGGACTCTAAGCAATTCTGCCTTAGCTTCCTGAGTGCTGCTGGGGTTACATGTATGAGTCACCTTGCAGAACTCTGGCTCAGATGTTTGACACAGTTGCTCTCTACCAGGCCATGGCAGATGTCAAAGTACTTTGCAAGAGTAATTTTTGAGAATGAAAATTCGGAGCTGAGTGTGGTGCTCATTCATACCTGTTATCTCATCTCAGGAGGTTGAGACAAGAGAAGTTGAAGGCCTGCGTAGGTCTTGTAGTGAACTGTGACCAGCCAGATCCATGGAATGATATGCTTTCTCACACACACTGAGCAAGTTCTGGAACTCTGTGTAGATCAGGCTGGCCTCAAACTCACAAAGATCCGCCTGCCTCTGCCTCCCGAGTGCTGGGATTAAAGGCGTGCCCCACCACCGCCCCAATTGGTGAAGTATTTAAAATGTTAGAGGCAACCTTACTGATGCCTTTGCTACATTTCTTCAAATCTAAAACATAATCAAGCTTCCAAAGGAATGTCACTATGTATACCTAGGAAACTAAAAATGGAATTACACTTGCTTTCCCTTGTCATTAGAATTTTATTTTGTGCTTTAGTACTTTTTAAAAGTTATTTGGAGCCGGCAGAGGCAGGCAGAACTCTGTGAGTTCAAGGCCAGCCTGGTCTCCAAAGCGAGTTCCAGGAAAGGCACAAAGCTACACAGAGAAACCCTGTCTTGAAAAACCAAAAAAAAAAATAAAAATAAATAAAAATAAAAACAACGAGCCAGGTAGTGGTGGTGCACGCCTTTAATCCCAGCAGAGGCAAGTCGATCTCTGTGAGTTTCAGGCCAGCCTGGTCTACAGAGTGAGTTCCAAGAGAGCCAGCATGGTTACACAGAGAAACTCTGTCTTGAAAAGCCAAAAATAAATAAATAAATAAATAAATAAATAAATAAATAAATAAATAAATAAACAAACAAACTTAATTACATTAGAACAGGTCACAAATGGCCATATAATGTCACCTTGAACACTGGCACACCTTGTAAACAACATGGTCTTACAGACCAAGTCTGTGTCCAAACTGACACCTGCCTGGGCTTGGGTAAACTTGTCCCTCCAAATGGCTTAGCTTGCTATCCCACCAAACAAGCCAATTAGTGAATGACCAAAGAAGGGAAAAGTTGGATGCTGAGCTCTGCTAGTTAAAATGCAATGAGCAGCCTGGGTACTGGGAGTCAGTGTCCTCTCAACACTGGCAGAAGAAGACCCTTTGGGACAGGACCTGCACAGAGAAACTGACGCAGCAGGGCTAGACCCTGTGAGCAGAACGCTGTTCAGATGGACCCCTTTAATTTCACCAGTTTTTCCTTATGGATTCATAAGAGTAATGTACAATTAAAATGATTTCCAAATAACTTTTTTTTTTTTTCTCCGAGACAGGGTTTCTCTGTGTAGCTTTGTGCCTTTCCTGGAACTCGCTTTGGAGACCAGGCTGGCCTCGAACTCACAGAGATCTGCCTGGCTCTGCCTCTCGAGTGCTGGGATTAAACGCATGCGCCACCACTGCCCTGCTTATTTTTATTTTTTGCTAGACTGTGTTATAGATGTGGTTCTCTGCTACTAGATACAGATGTACATCTATGGTAATGGTGTTCTTTTTCTCTTTCCTTGTGTTACATACTTATTTTTATTTCACATCAAGTTCCTTGTATCCTTGCATTACTGTGAAACATGTCTCTAGAGTGCTTTCATTGCGCACTTCTGAAATCCATGCCCCTGAGCACCAGCTTCCCTTTTCTCCTCACTGCAGTCCTGGTGGCCACCATTCTGTTTTCTTTTTCTGTGATTTCCACTACTTTAGATATCTCATGTAAGTGAGATTATACTGTGTGTGTGTGTGGTTTTGTGTTTTTTGTTGTTGTTTTGTTTGCTTGTTAAGTAATAAAATCCCAACAAATGGTCTCTAAAACAGCCTCCTTGTATCCTTACAAACTTGCTTGGAAAGCAGGTCTTGAGCCCTGTGAATCTTGTTTGGGCAGGATGGCCTGTGCTCAATGGCATTTATATGTGGCTTTATGCTCTGTAAAGAAATTGATGTTGGCATGTGTGGTGAGATTGTTTACATTGAAAATAGCTCACAGACCAGCACTTGGGAGGTAGAGGAGGAAGATCAGGAATTCAAGGCCCGCTCTAGCTGTGTTCTAAGTTTGAAGCTATCCCAAATTACTTGAGACCTGTGTTACTGCCTCCTCCACGTGGACTCAAGCCAAAGAAAGAAGACAGCTCACGGGATCTTAGTGATTGGTTCATTTGAGACCAGTCATTTCAAGGTCTCATTGTTTGGTTTTCAGAAACCAGAACCCCGAGAGCTCGTTTGGTAGGATGTTTAATGTCTGTTGAGTTAAGTGATTTCATTGCTCCCGGTAGCACAAGTGAGTTGATAATCTACCCACCTGCCTACTTCCTTGTCTTTCCTTCCTTCCTTTTTCTTTCCCTCCTCCTTTCCTTGTTTCTGTCATGTTGTCAGGATCTTCTGCATATAGTCCAGAACTTGTTGTGTGGCTAGTCTTGAACTCCTGATACTTCTGTTTCCATCCTCCCAGTGCTGGGATCACAGGAGTGTGCTGCCATGCCCAGCTGACATTTCTTTTTAAAAAACATTTTAAAATCTCTTACACTTACTTACTTACACTACCGCTTGTTGAGATGGGTGGTGGTAGCATGCATGACAGGATACATATGTGGAGGTCAAGAGTCAGTTCTCCTACTGTGTGGGTCTAGCATCAAATTTAGACCATTAGACTTAGCAGCAGGCACTTTACCTGCTGTGAGATCTTGCTAGCTGCAGCTGACTATCCCCCCCC